ACGGAAGTAATTACCATTGAGAAAGGTATTAAGGTACCTGCTACTTGTTTCAGGACAAATTCTGCCTGCCAATCTCCCAAAGGCAAAAATATCTGAGAGGATGATGGGAATCCCAGACTCCCACACTAGAAAGTCAAGAACATTTCCTAAAAATAAGGAACAAGAAACTGGTATATGTACGACAACATTACTACATTTTTCTTAATCATGACAATCATAGCATTTACATTTATAGCTGGCACTTAGAAGTTTTCATTTTTTTTAATGTTAATCCCGTAAGAAAATAAACCTCTGCTGCTTCACCATATATCAAATAGTGCATTCTAATTATAGTTCAGTTCATTAAAAATAAAATGGTGCCTTCGACCATCCCTTGGCATATCTTTTCCACATATAAAAAGTTACTTAAGGAGTGTTGTAACAACACGGCTGATCATATTCATTAGAATTCCATTCAGTTAGAATCTTAAGCACTTATTGCAGAAATTCAATGCTATCTCTCTATACTGTTGTGCAGTTCAGTCTGTTACGGTGACATCATTAAGTTGTTTAAGGTGCAATAGACAGTTTTGGAGGTAAAAGTCTGTCAGGTTTCTATTCCGTTAAGACTATCTTGTGACCGAGTGAAGTAAATAATTTGGAAGACACCAACAATAGTTGTCTGACTGACTGTGTCTGTCTTAAAAAGTCTATACTGGAATCCAGCCACTTAAAATAAAGATGGACTCATGTAATTTGTTTAGTGATTCCCTTTTATTGTTATTTTTGTAAAAATAAAACGGTATCACCATGATTTAATGTTGGGGGGTTTTTAATTATATACTTTTTTGGATTATTTTGTTTTTAAAGTCCTCCTCCATTGGAAAAGCCATCTTTTTCCCCAAATTCAAGTCAAATATACTTGATACCTCAGAGAAAAAAAAACCAGAGATCCGTAAAATGTCAGTAAGCTAAAATGGAAAGTAATTCCAGCGTGATGATTTTATATAACAAAACCAGATTTTAAGGTGATAGTACTCAGTAGGCAATAATCATTATAAACAAATAAAACATTGGTGCACCTAGCAAAATCATGTTATATATATCTTTATTACAGTTTTCAGAATACATGGATTAACAATGGCCAGGCTGTGATTTCATCAAATTCCTATTTTAAACATTACATACAAACACAGAGCTGTTTAAAAAATAGAAATGCATGAGTTTTGTCACCTTTTTTTTTTTTTTTTGGCATCAGGAGTCATATGACTTCCAAAAGGAAAACCAAATGGTGCATGATAGCAGACTGACTAAACTGTAATAGATTATTGTTCACATTCTGTGGCATATGTATCACCTCAAACAGTGCTAAAAGAAGCACTACAAGAACAAATCTTTCTCCTTTAACATTCTCCTAATGACATCAGTGGGTGCTGAGTGACAGCTTGCAGGACTGCAGAATTCACAGGCTTACACAGAAACTCCCTTTCTTTCGCACAGAAGCGGTATGTGATCTGAAATAGAGACACCTGAAGCTGAGGGATTTGGCTTTATTTGCTTTGATTTTTATTTATTTATTTATTTACATTTTGTGTGCATGCGTGGGTGTGTGTGTAGATACTGCAGAAGAAGAGATGTAGAGGTTTCTTACAATACTTATTTTAAAATGAATAACTTGCAAATACAGTATGGCACATAAGAGGTGGGCTTTACATTGCTTTATCGCTTAGCATTTGTCATGCCTGACCTCTCAGCAATTCGAAGGCAAACATTAAAGTATAATTCAGCCAAGCCTTTGTTTAATGGATAAGAAGCAATTTACATACATAGGTAAGTTTGCTCCCACATAACTATTACCAGCTTTAAATATTTACTAGCTATATCATTCTCAATATAGGAAGTACTAAATTCACCCATCAAAGCAGGATTTGCCTGAGGGATGCAAAAGCCAAACATTGCAGGTTTCTTAATGAAAGCTATAGGAGGATTTCCAGAGCCAAACCTAAAACTCAGCCAGATTCTCAGAGTTTTGCAAACCATTTGTATATTGTGGGATGAATTTAAAGTAGGTCACTGATGAATTGTGGTTTGGATAGAAACCATGAAAACATTACGTTTTTTACAGCATTTGTCTGAGGTAGTACATATACCACACACAAAAATGCAAAAATATACAGATATTCGTAACTATTTGCATATTACAGAAGGGAACTATGGGAATGCTTGCATTTGTATCTGAATTTTCATGAAAGAACAGATAATTTTAGATAACATTTGTCATATTGACCATGGTTGTCTAAAACCAAATTATGTAATAGTATTTCTGGGAATACTTCCTGAAGCTGTTTGTCAATGGCCTCTGAGGCACTAATTTTGTTTTGGCTTTAGCATCAGTTCATAATATGATTAACACTTAAACCAAACATCACTTATGTGCTGGGAAAGGATATTTGTTGAATCACAAACAAACATACATGACAAACTGTGTTGCACTTTTTTCTCAGTGAACTGCATAAAACTTGAGCAAAAGATGTCTAGTGTCTTTACATTTCTGATCTGTACGGCCAGTAGTTAAGCAACAGAGATGTATATTTGTATATGATTTAAACATTTCATTCCCATGTCAATTGCAAATTTAGTTCAATTCATTGCAAAGGTAAGATTATCTTTCTCTTAAATAAACTAAGAAATGTAAACAGTGTAACATCATAAAAAAAAATCTCTTCAGTACTTGTAACTGGTAAAACGTGAATGCAAACAGATGTGCTGGTATATTGTTAACGTAATGTCTCAGAGGACATATAGTGAAACATAATTAGCAAGAAATTTATGTATGAACCCTCCAGCGATTTTCTTTCTGGGATTACTTGGAATACAAATATAATTTCACTGATATATTTCATTTTTTAAAATTTGAAAATAAGGCAAGTGCATTTCTGAAAAAGGTGCTACTCTTCTACACTTCTAGATAAACATGTGACACCTCTGAAAATCAGATCAAAAATCAAAATATGCATTTTGCATTTCTGAAAAAGGTGCTACTCTTCTACACTTCTAGATAAACATGTGTGAAAATCAGATCAATAATAAAAACATTAAAAATATCTGCAATTTAATATAGACTGAAAATATCAAAAGAGACAAAGTGACCAGCATCAATTTCAGAAAATATTTTAGACTTCATAAATACGAGCACCCTATATTTACATAAATTATCTTCTAAACTAGTTTTCCTTTGAAAGACACTTTTGTTCTAACAGATATGTCCATTAAATTATATAATTGTTTCAAATACGAAAAAAATAGTAGTAAAATATAAGCATCAGATGATGTTGTTATTTTGGATTTGCTTTTTCTTTTTCCTAAGATTTGGTTCTTGAAAATCTGTAGTCAGCTTTCACAGAGCTTTAAAAAAAATATAACCCATGGAAATGAAAAACTTGTGCACTAATAATTACTGCTACAGTATAAAGATTCTGTTGTGAGCTTTTGAGTTTTCACATATAAAGATTATACCAATACTTGTAAATCCCAGAAAAATGCTCATTTTAAAATTTGAATTCTAGTACACTGTTGATTGTAGTACAAATTTACATAGACATTATGAACCTAATCCTTTTAAACTGGCTTTGTACATTAAGCACATTTTTATAACTGTAAATTTAATAGTTCCATTTTAAAAAGTTATGCTTCAATACAAGGTTGATGTTGACCTTACACGAAACAGGATATAATTCTTTGCATCTCTTACTGATAAACAGGGAGACAGAATCCTGTTGCATGCATTTTTTTTTTCCTTAAGTACCATACAACTCTTTAGTTTGTTACTAAAAACACAAAAAAACCCAAAACAGTTTAGGAAGAGTATTAGTTGACAGCACACATTTCACTAGGCTTCAGTCGTATTCCTATGTTTAGAGATATAGCAATGGGCAAAACCCTGTTTCCTTTGAAGACAATGTTTTAAAAAAAAATATTTCAATACTAGATCGAAAAGGAGCTGTATCTTTTCTTACAATAATTGGATATTGATCACTGTAGTTTGAAATTGTGAGAATTTATCCCAAACTAGTCAGATAGTCTTCAGAGCATCTTACCAGAGAAGCAAAAAGAATCTACTGTACAAAGATGCTTGCCTCAAGCAGTAGTGCAAAGTTACACTGCCCCAGTATCGAATGCTCCTCGAGAGCTAGCAGTTTGTGCACAGAAAACGATGTGACACCTTACCTTCCAAATATTCTTTATATAACATTAAAGGAAAGTTCCCCATAACACCAGGCAATAAAAGTATTCATAATAATTCATCAATCAGTGAAAAGCAGTAATAATTTGAGAACAAGTGCCATCTACTACATGGTATCCCGTTTTTTTTAAATATCATAGCTGAGCAACGTATGAGTAGTTCCACTGGAACACCCACTTAAAATCCTCCATCCCATCCAGATAAGCAATGAACCTTTAGTAAAAAGGATGGTGAAGACTGACCTGAACACCAAACAGACTGTACATTCAACTAGAGTCTGGGGAGAAAAGGGAACTATAGTTTCCCATTGAGTGGCAGAACATACACAGTGTCAGCTACTAAACTGACTGCTCACCTGAGGTACTGCAGTGCAAGGGGCCTGTATAGAAAGTAGAATGGGAGGAGCTGCCCGAAAAATCAGACTGCTGCAATCATTGATCACTGCTATATAGTGCTCCAGGTAGAAAATTTGATCTTAGCTGCTAAACCCAGCACTAAAATCCACCAGTAGAGATCCCGCTACATATTTTACCTGAGAAACAGAGGAAAAACTCAGAGGCAGTTCTGAATAACTTCATAATGTAGCTTGTCTCTAAAAACCTACACAAAGGTATTTTTAGCGTAATTAAAATAGGACAATCATATTTTCCCCCAAATATCTTTATAAAGAATATATAAGTGCATAATTAGAAAAATCCCTCCTTAGATACAGTTAAAAACATATCCTGCCCTTGATATCATTTAATTTTGGTAAAATCCTATGCTCTGTTTTATGTAATTTTTTTTTTTAGCAGTGATAAGTAACTATACATCATCATATCACCAAAAGTGTAGATATGTGGTATATCCTACTTGCAGCCAAAATAGCTGAATCCACCAGGCTTTACACTGAGATAAGATTTTCAGCAACCTGACTGGGGCTATGCATTGCTTTTTTATGGTTACAAAAAAGATTCTGATAATGTAGACCAGCTCATCTCTGAATTTATTAACATACAATTTTATTATTTTTTCCTTTCATGTCCAAATCAGAACTGCAAACGGAATCCACAGCTGTATTCTTTCAACAAATTTATATTTTCTTACCCATATAAAAACATAACCTAGAAATCCCCAACTCCTTTCATGTAAGTTGCCAGCTTTAAAAAAAAAAAGGGGGGGGGGGGGGGGAGGGAGAAAGAACATAAGAAAATAAGATATATATCAAACTGTTTAACACTGTTTACAGATCTTGGTAGTTGGGGTAATAAGATACAGTATGTGGATTATTTAGCAATAGCTTTTCAAATACATAATATTTATACACCTTCTTATTTAATCAATACCAGTACTCCTGTATGATCATTGCCAATATGTATGATAAACTCTTTTCAAAGTATAACTGTTTAATTGTAAATAAAACAATTCACTAGTTCTTTGGCATCAGAAGAATCATACAGCTGCAATTGTTCCATTGTGGCGAGAACGAGACCTTTCCAAAGTTCCTCCTCTGTTATCTGTAATACAAAGAGAAGAAAAAACAAATCACCATAAGATTTGAAACATGGATAATGCAATGTCAAGAGGTTTTCAAACAGCCCTGAAAATAATTTCAAATTATATGTAAATAAGTAACTAGGAGACTGGATCAGAGAAGTTTCACACTGCAGCTGCCAGACTGAGTTCAAGAGTTCTGCAATCAGCAATAAATTACTTTCTTGATCAGAGAAGCTGGGTGATAAAAGCATTAGGAGAATCCTGAAACACAGTCCCCTTGGAAACAGCACGCAATAATTAAAATTCTGGGTAAAAATCTTGTTTATAAACAATTTATGCACAGAAGCTCTGGAAAATTACATTTCAAGTTTCATGAGAATGTACTGACCACTGTGGTGGTGAAAAGCCTACAAGTATAAAAGCGCTAACACCGTTCACTATAATTTGGTACAGAGTTAAAAATAGAATAGTTAAATCAGCCACTTCCTAAGCATTTCCTGATTGTGCAATGTGACCAACTTTTAGTATAAAATATTACACAGTAATTATTGCAATGAATAATAAATATGTCTCTATGACAGGAAAACAATCATGAAGTACCAGCCACATTCCTAAATGCCTTTAAAATAAAACTTTAAAGTGATGAATATACACATGCACACACACAAAAAGGGGCAGAAAATTAACCCCCACTTAGTTTTCTGGAGGTTTTGTTCTTTCTTTTTTAAAATGTGGTCCTTCCACGCAAATTTTTTCTTTTTCTTTTTTTTTTGGTGACTGCTGACTTTTGACCTAGCCTTTTCTATTCTCTCATGTCATATTCAGGTGGGGTGGACAAGATGACCTCCAGAATTACCTTCCAACCTCAGCCATTTTGTGATTCTGTTCTAAGCTAACAAAGCCAGAAATGGTCCAAGCACATTAAATAAGATTCTGGAGAAGACAAAGAAAGTCATCTCTGCGATCTGTTTCTGGACAAAGAACAGAGGATGCCTGTGGAAACCGCATGGGCTCTGCAAAGTCAGCCTTCCTTTTCCCTGTTCAATGAAAGTGTCTCCAATGCTACAGGGAATTAACGGCTCCTTTAGCAAGATTATTAGTTCTTTTTATAGTTCTGCCTTGCCTCCTTTTCCTAATGAATCTATCCATGCATAAAGTATTCAAATTACCCTAAGTCAATCTGTTTTCCCCGGGAATAAATCTCTACACTGGTTGCAGTGTCACTAGGCACTGGAAATTAAAGCACAAAAATGCTGTCTAGAACCCAAGAAGGAGAGTCATCAACTCAAATGTGCTGCTGTTCCTCTGTAACAGTGAATAGTAAAGAGTCTAGTGATACTTGCTCTCAGTAGGGGGAAGTGCCTTCACCAGTAGACTATTTCTTGATATAATTTCAAGATTGTCAACTGTACAGGTTGAAAAACAGATTAAGAGAGTGTAAGAACAGTTGATTTCTTCATACTTGGGGGCTTTTTCAATTTTTCTCTTTTCTGTTTTTTTTTCATCACAGTAGAGACAAACATTTTCTGCAAATGACAGTTCAGATTCTCCTGTAGTTGCACAACTGAGCTGGGACTTAAATAAAACACAAACAAAATTGTAAAAAAACAGAAGCATTATCATTTCCTTCTTCAGCTGATGACAAACGAAGTATTTTCCCAATTATTAAAAGTAATCTATTCTTTTAAATTACTTCCAGTTTTTAAATTGAAGTAATTATATTTTCTAGAGATAGGGATACAAAATCTGAAAGATTCAAGAGAGACTGGAAAGAACCACAAGGTTCTAATCAGGAAACTGGGATACAGTGATTCAGTTATTACCAATAAGAAACAATGTCAGCATTTGCAAGAGATTTTCTGCAAATCGTAGAGCGCTTCATAGTGATTCTCACTAAAACAAAAGCAAGTAGGATATAAATTACACTTTGATAGAATTTTCAGCTCATTATAAAAAAGGGATGGGAGGATTAGATTTAGTTACTATCAACATGAAAGCTTTAACATATCTGAAAATTTTGGGGTTAATATAAAGTATTTCTTGTTCTTTACAAAGAGACCTATTTTATTCAACAGTGAATCTGCAAGCAACTTTGTGTGTGTGTGCATATTTACACCTGGTTTCAAAAAGAAGCATTAATATGTGTACATACATATATACATACACATAAAGAAATGACTCATTTCTTCACTAGATGTAAAATGTGCTTGTATATGTATAAACATGTTCGTTAGGTTAAAACAAAGGGTTTCATATTAGGATCTGAAACTGGATTGGGCTGGTATTTCAGTGACTCAAGCAAAAATTTTAAAAAAATCATGACATTTATAACACTTTCAACATACACATTCAGTTATCTCCAACAGCTGTATTTACTTTTTTTTATGTTACAGACCATATTGAATACAACACAAAGCAAGACTGACTTATAAACATGACTACGGCTATTCTAACATAAAACTACGTATAACATCCATAAATGCTAAAACTATTCACTTGTATTGTGAGGAGTGGGGTGGGGAGGGAGTAATAAAAGGCAGTAGCAGTAATCTAAAAGTATTTATAATTAAGCCAAAAATCATTGCCAAAAGGCTCAGGTGTACACTTTAGAAGCATGTAAAAATGACTAGAAAACACGATAATAGTTTCTTTGTGTTATCAGTCGCCTTCTGGGTAACCCATCTACCTATGCAGATGAAAACTTTGTTTCTTACTTTAATGTCAGAAGTCCATCTCTTTTTAAAGTAGGCCAATTAAGAAGCATCCGCAATGCTCATATTACAGAGCAAAAAAAGGTAGAGCAATGAAGGATTAAAAGGGAAAACAAAGCATATTTTTATATCATAAAATAATCATATTTTAGCTAGCTGGATCAAATTCAAATGAAGTAAATATACAATTAAATACTGAGAAATCAAATCAGTAGTTCCTTTTTAGTATATATAATACTGGAACATAATCTTGACCATGCAAACTTTACAACTCCGCTGGAAGAAACACATGGACTTTTTTATAGTAACAATTACTTGCTCAAGTCTTTTTGCACTCAATATAGTACCGAGATGGGAATAAATAATATCTACAACATACAAGATATTTGTAGAAGTGCTTTTGATACAAACACATCATTCACCACATAATATGAATCTACTGATGTAAAAAAAAAAAAGCAAAACCACAATAAGGTTAGTGTATAAGTACAATAAATATATGCCATGGAGACAACAAAAAAATTCTAAACAGTGATTTTTAGATAATGTATTTTAATTTTATGGAATTTGACAACTTCACCCTTAAGAGTTCTCCCTTATACTCTGTACGTATAAAGCATTAGAAATTACAATCAATTAAAACCACATTGGTAAGGGAGATGAAAACATTTTTGCAAGAACTATACTCTGCAAAATGTATTTTTTGTTTCCTTAATGCTCCTTCATTAGTTCTGTTATTAAAAGAGAAGTCTCAATAGCTGCAACAGATTAATTTACTCAGTAGCTTGTTATCAGCATAAAACTCAGTTATATTAGAAGAAAAATAAAAGATATTTTGCAGAACTTCAATACTAAGATTAAGAGACTTTTCCATTTCGCTTTCTTCTTATCCACTCTTCCAGGTAGTAACTTTCTGCTCTCCTAATTATAAACCTTACTTTTTATGAGCAATCAATGCTAGTAATAATATAAATATTGTGCAATTGCATGGACTAGTCATGAGACTGAGATATCTGATAATAGAAAAAGACAGACTGTACAAAACCATACCTCAAAGGTACTCAATTGGAATTTGTATTTCCTGTAACAACCACAAAAAATGTTCTCTTTGACATGCCTTATATGAAAATTATAAATGTATTATAAATTGTTACCTTGGGCTTGGTACCTTAGTTGACTAACTCCCCAGGATTAACTATTTTTTTCCCAGTCAGTTAAAGCATTAAAAGTGTTTCTTTGTGCCTTAATTACAGCAGTCAATTCAAACACTAGACCGATTTTGAAATCTTGTTTCCTTGCAGACTTTCTTAGAGTGCTCATCAGGAGACTAAGTTCCTCCCAAATGTAAATAACTACAGCACCCCTAGATTAGCATTAAAAACCCACCAAGAACAATCACCCAAAACCACACAAAAACCCCACAAAACCAACAACCAAACATGACTGGTGCAGACACCTACTTTTTGCCCTTTTTTTAAAACAAAAGGTTGAAACATTAATCTGTATGCAGAACACGAAGCACCTAAATGTTGTAGGAAAACGGGCTAAAAAAAAAATACTGGGGTTTTCATGAATGAGTACTACCAGAACTATTTTGCCGTCTTCAAAGACAGTGGTCACAGGACCCTCATACCTGAACAACACGTATTTTAAAGAATGTCTTAGTTAATTAATAAATGCTATGTTAATCACATTAATAAGAGCTTAAAATAGTGCCAAAGTGTTGAATCTGGAAGAGGGGTAGTGTACAGCATTGGGCGCTCAGCTAGCAACTGTTGTGCTGGAGCACACGCTGGAGGGCATGAGCCTCAGTAAGGAGAACTCTGAAATGCCGATTTATTTAAAAAGCTCACACCGTTAATTTGCACAATCACTACATCTTTTTTCATTTTTTTATTCTTTTTTTTTTTTAAACTTTTTTTCCCCTCCTGACGAACCACCCCAAGGTGAAAGAATTAACCTTCCCATAGCTGACAATAACAAAAGGTGTTTAATGCTCAAAGAAGGTATCAGATTGAGTTGACTTGAAAATGACCATATGAAGAAGGTAGAACACTCAGCAATGAATAAAATATTTAAAATGTCATCTTTTTGAAATAATTTTGACTATGCAAAAGATGCAGAAATGCATGTTATAAGGGAATTTGTATGGCCTATGCCTTTTGGAATCAATAAAAGCATTTACATCAAATATTTATTTATTCATTCATGTACAATTTTGTTCGATGGGAAATCCTACTGAAACACATCTTGTTTTCATGAGCAACCCAAGGGAAAATACTCATACAGTCCCAGATACTTCAGCAAGC